AACGAATCAGAGGCCAAACATAAAAGAAGCGACAGCCAAGAGAGTAGTGATCGTATGATTCGCTATTGTGCTCGACGCCTTTTAGGCGACGAGAAGAAGAAGCTGCTTCTAAGAGCTTGAACTCGCTAAATTTGAAGAAACCGCCCAGCTGTCGTATCCGACGGGTATTGACAAGAGAAAAGAGAAAGGAAAGAGATGTAGTGAGGTGAGTTGAAGAGAAGAGGCTCTTTGTGGGTCTGCTGCCTACAGAAAGCTGAAACATCGCTCGCTGAACGGATGCGCATATTAAACTAAGTAATGTGAAAAGTACTGCGCCTCGCGATCAGTACATGAAGCTTTTTTGCTGCTCTATATCGATATCGAACCGGCTCTTATCGGTATCGTCGGTATCGCCACTCATCGGTCGTTCCGAGGGCGCACGGAAGTGGACCGGGGTGATGGCGGTCCCGGGCCGCGTCTCATCGTCGCCCGTGAGCTTCCGCGTGTCCATCTCGACTTGGTCCAGGACAGGCGTGATCTTCTCCTTCCTTCTGCTGTTTTGCGAGTTGTTGCCGTACTTGGACCCTTGCTGCCTTGCCCGGTGCGGGAAGAGCAGAGGCTTGAGTGCTGGAATGCACCCGCAGATGACACCGACGTTTGTTTCAATCGCGGTCCAGACCCAGATCTGGTATCCCTCCCACGTGGCATCGTATGTTTCGAAGAGTGTGTAGTGGACCCAGTAGGCGCGGAAGCTGCTTGCAACAACGATGACACCGCCGACCGAGAAGAGAATGACGAGACCGATACGCTGGGTGGTCGGTAACGAGAGGCCGAAGAGCGTGGGGATAGGTAGCGCGTAGATCATGAAGTCGGTCACGACGTTGAGAACACTTTGCACAACCAGTGGCGGTCCTTCAGGGATGCAGTCGCGGTGGTCGGCTTGCAGTGTCCAGTAGCTGGAGATTGGGCTGTGGTTGTCAGCACTGGATTAAATTGATCACGTGGATGTACTTACATGCATTGTACCCAGAGTGCGACCAGGAAAACGACGAAGGCGGCGAACACGAGGGCAAAGGTTGCCCAGACGAGCTTGCGGAAGAGCGACTTCTCTGGCGCGATGCGGAAATACGAGATGAGGATGGACATCTTAACGGTGGAAGAGGCCAGGACGAATAGTGTTTGGCCTGCCATGGAAGCCTAAAGCCGTCAATATCAGCGTGTGGTGACATGGGTTGCACATTGTCGTACCTGTCTACCGACCATCAGCTCGTGCGGCTTGAGGTCCCAAACGTGGCGATCCCAACCATACAGTTGGGATGCCATGATGACGATTACTGTTGTGCCTGTAGAAGGAGTTAGATGATGGAAGTCATGATAAGTTCGGGTTCCGTACCAATACTGAAGACCATCGCCACGATCATGAGGTAGTCGTCATACCAGCTCTTCTTGAGCCATGCTATCCGTACCCATAGCCGAAGAAAGACGACGATCATAGCGATGGGTAATAATGTCAACTCGACAATCATCAGGCCTGAGCCCCTCGTGACGGGGTCGACGTAGTTCGGCTTGGGCCATGTCGCAAGGACCTCGGGCGGGGGAGACCTCATGGTGCTGGCGTATGTGTTTCGAAAGCCGTGAACGTTTGTTAATCGATGTTAGTCGATAGTAGGATGAGACTGAGGAACGAGCGTCACCAGCGTCCAAAGAGCACGGGACTGGGAATGGACAGGAATATAACCTTCACTCAGGGCGAGCCAGATCTCCACCCGTATGCTCCAGCTAGCCGTGCACAAAGGCTCGAATTCCAGTGGGGCTTGGCCATCGTTGGAAGCATGGTATGCTGGAGTACAGAAAGCTCATCTGCGCAGCACCATTGGCAGTGCACCACGGGAGCTCCGTTGCGGGTACGGAATGGTGTCGGTTTCGCCCGCAGGGGTCCAGGTACCAGCGACGTCGGTAGTCCCTTCAGCTCGCGCTGTGACTTGCTGGTACAAATGACCAGTGTGGATAGGTGACCAGTAGCCGGGAGCTGACTGTGGAGCGTTAATGTGACTGGGTTCAGGCAGGTTGTTGCTGCGGCTCATCAGTGGGTAGAGACGCATTCCACGCATGGCCAATCGCTGTCCCGGAGCCGGGGTAGCTGAGCAGTAGTACCGAATCCGGCGTCTGGACGTTTTGCCGCAGGACAACCTGATTTGGAGGCCCGTATATGAGCCGATACTTTGGGAGACCAGCGGCGTCCTCTAGACTACCGCATTCTGGCAAGCCGCAATGCTGCTTTTCCCACCATCGCGCGATTGTCGCGTGTCGTGAGCAAAGATCGAAGGGTCCAGCGTTGAGATTTTGCCCGTCGTGGCGAAGCGCTTTCGGATCGCCCGCCTAGCAGCAGGGGCCACCCCCGGCCTCGTCTATCTCAACAACGAATAACCTCACCGCATCACGACAAAGTGTGATCCGCCTTCGCTCTGCGCGATGCCCTGCGGATGCGGGACATTGACGGCGCCTGTTGCTGTCTCCGCTCTCTCGTGGCTGGCAATACTCCGCCCGCCGTCTTTTTCCACCTAACCTACTCGCCGACGTCTTCTCGCTGTCTAGTTGTCTTGGTGACGTCGCGTCTTCGGTACCACCTACCCACTTTGTGTCGTCAGCACGTTGTGTCTTTGACCAGAGGAGCCACAACAAGCGGTATCCCCGATCCAGCCTACCCTCAGGTACACATGGCTGTTGTTTCGAGACTCACGCGATCCACATTACGAGACCCATTAAGACCAGGGACGCCTATGCGGGCGCCTCAGACGGCATCCATTGCGCCACGCAGAAACTTCGAGTTGGACGTAGGCCTCGATTGACTTCCGCACTCAAGAAACCTGATCCCGGTCCTGTGAAGATTTCATCCCTCTTCCTTGCAAAGATCACTCTATCCAAGCCGCTTCCCCGCCAGCAATTCCTGGCCTTTGGGAATACTCAGCCGTTACGTACTTCCACCGTCAAAACACTAATGATCCTTCCGCGGCTGTGCTCCACTCCCTGGAGGCATGCACATGCATCTCATCTACCGACATGCACACGACGTCGTGTATACAGAGGCCACCGTGCTCGCTCGTTGGCAACGGTTTTACTTTTCAGCTGCCCAAGTATTGGCTACCAAAAACCACTCCCACAACACGGGCTCAGCTCCTGTCCCTATCTCGGCACCCGCGTGGGTCCAGTGCTGTGGGGTACGGCCTCGAATTAGAGACCCGCTAACCACAGCGGCTAAGTGACAAAGCTTCCGTTTCCCGTCTCGTGCCGGCTACAGCATACGATTGGACGTCCACCACATGTCCAAGCTGATCGATGTCCCCTTTCGTCGCTCAACATGTTGTTGACTCCTCGGAAGTGTGTTTTGATTGCGCCATATCCGGACTGATTCAGAGCATTGCAAAACCAGTCATGGCCTAACGGCTAGATATGCGACTGCGGGACGGCTTCCAATTGACCAGCTATAGGCCCTAGCATCACACCGTTGAAGACTACAAACGTCCTCAGCATGGGTTATCGCTCTCAACAAGGACGTTACAAGTCCTCGGGAATGCATCACGGCCAGAGGCGTGGTCATGATATCCACGGTGATCGATAATTGTCACGACCATCGCGTCCGATCCACACTGCAATCTTGGTAGTGAGGTAGCCACAACTTAATACAGCACCTAGGAAATTCCCCGAAGACGGCGGCAACTATATCGGCTCGACATGCTTCGACTCTTCCTTGCAAGTGCCACGCGGAAGGGTATGCGCGTCTGCACGTCCTTCAGTGTGCTGACTAGTCACATCCTTTCAAGATATCAGCGAATAACTACACGATACGATGTGATGAACGTCTCGACTCTCCTCAGACCATCTCGCCTCCCCTGGTCAACCCATGTCGCCGACGATCACGAAGCCACACTCATCAGCGATGGACCATGGCGACTACATCGGTAGTCGAGCACTGATATCGCGTTCGTCATGCTTTGCACAGGTACCCGCGATTACTCACGGTTCATCGCGTTGTCACCCATCGGTAGTTCTTCCGTGTTGAAAGCACGGTGCTGGTTGCCTGGAAGCTGTGTTAAAGTTCTTTCTAGCATCTCCATATCGTCAGTGCAGCGGTTATTTCGATCTGCCGACTGATTAGTCGCGATGGTACACTGGGTCCAAAGGGGTAGCCAGACACTTCCAGCGCGATCTCCTGAGTGTTCTATTTGGAAGATACCCACCGTGGCTTTTGCGCATTCGATTACTCATTCTGGCAATGCAGGTACTTACTCCGACTCCCTCATCACCAACCCCTTCCACACTCTAGCGTCCGTGCGAAGGCGATGCTAGACTTCCATCTACCACCCCCTTCCCGATCCAGCACCCGATACCAGATCGGCCGGGTAATTGAACTTCCCGTCGTAATCTCGTCTTGCGCGCATGGTGACGTGCGAGCCATCTTGGGGGACTCCGGGTTCTCTCCTTTGTTTTCCTTCCCCAAGAGTTCGGATGCGCGGACGCCGAACGGAAAAGGAAAATAAGACACGTAGGCTGAGGCTGCCACGAGGGAAACATAAACTGCATAGTGTGATGGGTAAGCTGGTGGGTGTACGACTAAATGTGACTAATGTAGGTTTGGCTAATCTTGTCACTAAAAGGAAGGGAGCGTGGGATGGATAATTGGGGTTGTTTTTTGAGGCTACAGAGAGGTGTCGCACTCCGAGGTCATGTAAGATGAACTCGCCGCGTCATCAGCATCGGTTTGCTCATTCATCCGTCATCTTGCCGATGTATATCTAGACGGAGAGTAACGCAACCGACTCGCACGACGTGGATCTCCCCTCCCTGTTCTGGCCCGACGCTGTCTATCGTCAATGCTTGCTTGATGGTCATTTTGCTATCCAGTCTAGCCACAAGGAATCAAAAGGTCAGACGACATGTACCCGCTATTGGACGAGCTGATTGCGATATCTATCAGTTCCTACCGTACATACGTACTACCACCTGAAAGCTTTCGTGCAGCGTTAGACAGCTTCGTTCCACTCCTTCCGGAAAACATTGTTGTAATCCTGATACCCAAAGTGAGTACACTGCGCGAATGTTGGCCTAGGTTGTTCCGCGGATTCGAGGAAAACTAAGAGTTTTGGAAGACCAGGTCCCCACCACGATTGGAGCTTGTTTCCAGAACCCGAAAACTTTGTCCACTTTTCTTCTGCGATATACTCACGCATGTCTTGAGACTTGTGGCGCCAGCTTTCGATAGCCGTAGGAATGTGCTGCCGGATCTGCGGCAGGAAATCTCCAACACGAATGCCGTCCGCACGATGAACCTTTTCGACTAACTGAAATCCCCCAATGCCATTGTCGCCATCCCCGCATAGAGCGTAGATACCTAGGGCCTTACATGGGGGATTGGTAAGAAACATAGTGTCGACGAGCTGCTGAAACCCCGTGGGTAATGCATCATCCCTCAGACAATGCTGCAGACGGGGCTTTGTAGTGATTACGAAGCTACCACGTGTCAGTTGCAGACAATCCCCAAATCGGTCGATAAAGTATGGATTGACTTCGAATTGACTGAGGTCTAGCCAACGAGGTCCATCTACTCGAGAGAGAAGTGCTTCCACGGAGAGGCTTTCGTAGCCTCCGGGGGCGTACAAGAATGCGAACTGACGCTGACAGAGTGTGCGGAAAATGTCGGACGTCGAATTCGGAACCTTGTCAGCGTGCGGCAACCTGGCAGTGAGGAGAAAGGTGTCGCGAAAGGTCTCGGGTTGGGGCGCCTGGTACAACCTATCCACCGTGTCCTGGAACTCTACGATCTCACTTTCGGATGGCTGCATCCAGCCCAGACCTGGCTGAATAGACTCGCCATGGTCGACAGGCGCGCAAGGATGTGGACTGTGGAACCGAGTTTGCAGGATGTAGCTCACCATGTCTCTCCAACCCTTTGATACGTTCCATGCAACGTACAGTGTGCTTGGCATTAATTCACGGAGTATCTGTTCGAGCAGCTCTTTGACGCCTAGGGCGCGATGTGGGAGGCCATGCGCAGGGTCCGATACGTCCGGGCGAGTTGCAGGACGAGAAGTCTTCTCGGGGGAGTCGAAGAGTGCCATGCGCTCGTCAATGGTGCGTAGAGCTGACGCTCGCCATTCTTCGACACCAATCTCTAACGTATCGCGCCGGGAGGGTGGTGGAAGAGGCCACGGTATCCGAGGTGCTCCAAGCCCTTCCTCCTCTTGCATGCGCGAAACACAGAGAAGTGCTCGAGGGTGTGGGCTGTTCGCTACCTCCGTGGCCGTATAGTACTTGTAGATGAGAACGTCGTGTGGATGGTATTTGTTTGGGTCAGCATCCCTGATATCGTCGATGAGAAGGGGACTTTCCTTGTCTGCCATTGTTTCGTTGTCCATAGCTTGGAAGTGAGAGGAAGAGATGTAGGAATGAAGTCGTGGGAGATGTAAGACCGCGGCGTTGCGATGGAGAGAGCGTATTTAAAGGGGGGGGGGGGGGTCCGAGCCTTGCCCCAAGGCGTGGACAAGGCCCCGCCCAGCCCCCGTACAGGGTTAAAAAAATTTTACATCCTAAAGGATGTAAACATTTTTTTAGGGGGCTAGTTTAAACTTTCAATTTTAATAAAGAGCTTCTCGAGCCTAGTCTCTTTAAACAT